CCGGGGGGGAGCGGCTTGAAGGGCAAACTTCCAGAGACCAAAAGACCGGGTGCTGTTTTTTTCTGGCGCCTCTTTTTTTTTTTTTTTTTTAAATTTCCCCCTTCCCTTCTGTTCAGGAATAGGAAGTGTGTTTCTGGGCAGTGCAGTTACTGGATTAAGACCCGGCTGGGACCAGCTTTGAGGCTCTGAGGTCGGAGTGAACTGCCAGTTCTCCACATTCTGGGCTCTGTTCTTTTTTTTTTTTTTTAATATATTTTATTGATTTTTTACAGAGAGGAAGGGAAAGGGATAGAGAGTTAGAAACAACGATCAGCTGCCTCCTGCACACCCCCTACTGGGGATATGCCCGCAACCAAGGTACATGCCCTTGACCGGAATCGAACCTGGGACCTTTGAGTCCGCAGGCCGATGCTCTATCCACTGAGCCAAACTGGTTAGGAAGGAGCTCTGTTCTTGCCTCCCCACCACTGGGTTTCCAGTACACATCCTTCACCTCTCAGGTTGCACATGGCCACGAGGAAAGCCCACAAGCTTCCCTAGATGAGTCATATACCCCCCACCCCCAGCGTCCCCTCCCAGCTCTCTCTCTATCAATTTCTTGCATTGACTTACTGCTCAGCAGCAGGTTTTCCTTTGCAAAACGCCCTCTCTCAGACGCTCAGCTCCTTGAAGGAGGCAGGGCAGGTCTGGGGAACCCCTTCTGTTCCTCATTGCATACTCCTAGCACACAATAAATATTCAATGAATGAACAGACTACAGATTTATGAAATAGGATCCACAAAACTCAGTAACCAATTGGATGTGAAGTGGGAGAGAGAAGGATGAATCTTGGGAGACTTACAGATTTGGGGGACAAAATGAGTTGGGTGAGTGATAGGTCCATTGGCCAGAAGAACGGTTAACAGAGGCGGGAGAGGTTGGGGGAAGACAGTCACATAATACAGTGGAGAAGCCAGAACTAGACCCATAATTCCTCCTCAGGTTGTGGTTTATCACGGTTGAGATCTTCATGGTGGGGTTCCCCATACATGACAGGGGGAGTTCTGGGGCACAAGTCATTGCATGTTGTAGCTAAACCATAACTGAAACATTAGCCTTTTTCTTTTTCTGGCTGGTGAGTGGAGATTTCCTCTTCAGACTAACCTTTCAGAGCAAGATTTTAGATGCTTTCTTTTGTTTCTCTCCATTTCCACCCCTTCGTATGTCCTTGAGCAAAGCCTTTGCCCTTGTCCCCCTAAAAAGTCCAAGATTGCAGAAGCCTTCGGAATCCTAAAAGCGACAAATCCCATCAGTGGCAGCCTCCCTTGCAGCCCTCCTCCAGATCAGCAGCCGCTAGAGGTCTCCATCTCTAATGCGGGTGGAGCCTTCTTTTTCCTCTTGGGTGTAGAGGTAAAAAACACGGGGTGGGCTCTGGCATGGAGTCCCACACTTCTCACTTCCTAGTTTTGTTACCGCTCAAGAACAGAGGCGTTGTTGTCACGAAGTAGTTTTATTTATTTGTAGCAAGTAAAGGAGACGGATTCACATGCAAGGCTCTGCCTCCCTGAATTGTTTCCTTGTACCCAGGTGGCTACATGTATCCAGTTGAGTACCTGTCAAGCTCACCCTGTGTACTGCTGCATCTGCCAGATACTGTGCTACATTTTAACATTTAGATTCACAGTGGTTCTCAACCTGCTGGCCCTTTAAATCCAGTTCCTCATGTTGTGACCCAACCAGAAAATTATTTTCGTTGCTACTTCATAACTGTCATGTTGCTACTGTTAGGAATCGTAGTGTAAATATCTGATATGCAGGATGGTCTTAGGCGACCCCTGTGAAAGGGTTGTTCGACCGCCAAAGGGGTCGCGACCCACAGGTTGAGAACCGCTGCTTTAGAAGAACAATATTTGGCAATAACATTTAGAACTGCCCGGACCGTGAGGCCCTGTCCCATCTAATCGCTTGTGACCTTGGACAAGTGATTAGTCTCTCGGTGAGGCGGTTTTCTGACATTTATTTGTTTATTTTTAAATATGTTATTTTTTAAAAAAAATTCAGAAAGAGAGGAAGAGAGGGAGGGAGGGAGAAACACTGATGCAAAAGAGAAATATGGATCAGCTGCCCCCTCTCTTGCACCCCAACCAGGATGGAGCCGGCAACCTGGACATGTGCCCTGACCCAGAATCAAACCCGAGCCCCTTCAGTGCACAGGTCGACACCCAACCCACTGAGCCACACGGGCCAGAGCCAGTTTTCTTTCCGGGGGTTGTGTTAAGAAGAGACCAGTCGATGCAGTGCACATGCCTTTGCGTAGTGCCTGGCATAACACACGTGCTGGGTAAAGGCTTGCGATTAATGTTCCTCAACCATTTCTCCTTGCCCGCCATTCATTCAACAAATATTTATTGAGCCTCCGTGTGCTGGATGCTAGACACACACAGCACACATATGAGCCCTGGCCTAGAACAGTGGTCGGCAAACTCGTTAGTCAACAGAGCCAAATATCAACAGCACAACGATGGAAATTTCTTTTGAGAGCCACATTTTTTAAACTTAAACTATACAGGTAGGTACATGGTGATTCACTTCATTAGGGTGCTCCTAAGGCTTAGGAAGAGCCACACTCAAGGGGCCAAAGAGCCGCGTGTAGCTCTCGAGCCGCAGTTTGCCGACCACTGACCTAGAGGACACATTCCAGGAAAGGCGAGCCCGCTGTGCGCTCTGATGGAGCTGGTGCCCTGGAGAGCAGACAGGTGCTTACGTCTCTGGGGGGAGGGACAGTGTCAGAAAAGCTCCAAGAGGAAGTTGCTTTTTAAAAATATTTTTAATTAGCCAAAACCGGTTTGGCTCAGTGGATAGAGCATCGGCCTGCGGACTGAAAGGTCCCAGGTTCGATCCCGGTCAAGGGCATGTACCTGGGTTGCGGGCACGTCCCCAGTGGGAGATGTGCAGGAGGCAGCTGATCGATGTTTCTCTCTCATCGATGTTTCTAACTCTCTATCCCTCTCCCTACCTCTCTGTAAAAAATCAATAAAATATATTTAAAAAAAAATAAAAAATATTTTTATTGAGTTTATTTATTTCAGACAGGAAGGGAGAGGGAGAGAGAGATAGAAACATCAATGATGAGAGAGAATTATTGATCGGCTGCCTCCTGCATGCCCCACACTGGGGGTCGAGCCTGCAACCCAGGCATGTGCCCTGACTGGGAACCAAACCCGTGACCTCCAGGTTCATAAGTCAACACTCAACCACTGAGCCGTGCCAGCCGGGCAATATTTTTAATTTTTTAAAAATATATTTGTATTGATTTTAGAGAGGAAGGGAGAGGGAGATAGAAACATCAATGATGAGAATCATTGATGGGCTGCCTCCTGCACGCCCCCTATTGGGGGTCGAGCCTACAACCTGGGCATGTGCCCTTGACCAGAATGGAACCCAGAACACCTCAGTCGGCAGGCCGGGGCTCTATCCACTGAGCAAACTGGCTAGGTCGGCTTTTTTGAATTAATTTCGTAATCCCATCCTCTCATACACGATTGAATGACTAAAAATTTGGTATCAGCGCTGCTCTGTCACCAGCAGACTTAAGCTGCTCTTGCCTCATTGTGAAACTGGTGGGTTATGACGTCAGGTCCGTGGCAGAATTGTTTTTGCTTTCACCTCGTCATTCATCTTGTTTCTATGTCTCCAAGCTCATGGAGCCCATCGGACGGGCTGCTGGCTGCAGACCTTGCACAGCATCTTCCGCTGTCTTTCTTGCTGACAAATTCTGTAGGAGAGCAGGTGAGCTGTTGGTAAACGTAGGTAGAATACAAGTATTAGGTTTAATGCCTCTTTTAATGAAAACGACAAACTTACACTAGCTGTTATTTACTGAAGATAATCCCAAGATGCAGCGCGGCTCCCAGCGATGACCACGGGAGGAAAGACTTGGGCAGTTCCCCTGAGAGCTGGCAGCCGGCAGCAGGGCCCTGGCTGCGAACCGAGAGCAGCCCACGTGCCCGCCCAGCCACATCCAGCCACGGACGGGGTGCCACCCGATTTCTATCCAGCGGTCTTGGGGGGCCCTAACCTGACGGTG